TGGTCCTTTATGGGTTTTTTCAATGTAACAAAAACTGTCGGGTGTCTGGTTCTTTCAAGAAGTGCTTTAATAAGGTGAATGCTTAGGAGCGGAGGATGCGGAGTGGGCTGAGGTCTGGAAATTGGATGCAAGGGGAAGGAAAGGTTATCAGTACAGATTAAGGGATTTGTGCGAGGATCAGGGTCATATCATGTCTTTATTACTCCTGTAACAAATGGCCTGAAAGTCAATACTTACAAGTACCACCATGATGAACTCAAGATCCCACTCTCCAGGGATCCCGCTATCCATACCCTTAATAAACATAAGACCCGGGGTGACACTTGCTAGGACAGCAACAGTTTGTCCACAGAAAATATTGTTCCGTTACAGCTCAAGTACACTTGGCATTGGAAGTCACTTAGGAACATGATGAGATTAATTCAATGCCTTGCTGAAAACAACTTACTACAAGTGTGGATGGGGAAAGGGGGGGTTGTAGTCTTATGCACCAAACAATTAAAAATCTTGTTTATATTATCTATACTAATACTATACTATACTCTACTATACTTTACTATACCATGCTATACTATACTCTACCATACTATATTATAACATACTATACTATATTATATTAAACTATTCTATGCTTTCTATACCACTCTATACTATACTATATTATACGATACTATATTAAACTATACTGTGCTATCTATACTATACTATGCTATCTATACCTTACTATGCCATACTATACTATGCTCTACCACACTATATTATACCATACGATACTATATTATACTATGCTATACTATACTTTATTATACTATGCCATCATACTACACTATATTATACTATACTATGTTATCTATACTATACTATTCTATACTACAGTATATTATACTATACAGGTGAAACTCGAATAATTAGAATATCGTGCAAAGTTCATTTATTTCACTAATGCAACTTAAAAGGTGAAACTAATATATGAGATAGACTCATTACATGCAAAGCAAGATAATTCAAGCCGTGATTTGTCATAATTAGGGATGTCCCGATGCCACTTTTTTAAGACCAAGTACAAGTACAAGTACTGGCCCTCATGTACTTGCCGATACCAATTACCGATACTTTTTCTTAAAGGGACAGGTGACATTTAAAAAAAAAACATCTGACTCACCTCTGAACTCCATGTCCACAGCTAAACTCTGTAACCCTCATTCAGAGCTCACCTTTGCCCCCTCATTCACAGCTTACCACTATACCCCCTGTCCACAGCTAAACTCTGCTCCCCCTCGCCACAGCTTACCTTTCACACCTCACCTCTTCACCACCCAGCCACAGCTCATCTCTAAATCCCCGTCCACATCTCAGCACTTCCCCCCCCCTCACTCCAGCTCTCCTCTGTACCCACTTCTACAGATCAACAGTGGGTGGAAGCAGCCTGAGCACCCAGGGATGTGGGCATGTGCCCTGGGTGCTTGACGGTACTGATACCCATGGTGCATACACATAGGGACAGTGAGGACCCCTTATCGTGAGCAACTACTGACTGTCTTCTTTGCCATCCCAGCACAGGCCCTTACTCACTCTTGCCTGTTCAATGGAGGTGCCTCACGAGGTGCCGAATGCTTTCTTTTTCCTTTTCGAGGACGTCGGCGGCGCTGAGCGTCGCGTCACTGTTGTGGGCGGAGCTACAGGCGGAGTCATCTGGGCAGTCGCTGGCCAACCACATTAGGACCCCACCTGGAGCGCCGCCCACAGCAGTGACGCGACGCTCCTCCAGCCTGCCCAGAGGACGGTAAAAAGGACCCCACGGACGTCGGCGGCGCTGAGCGTCGCGTCACTGTTGTGGGCGGAGCTACAGGCGGAGTCCTCTGGGCAGTCGCTGGCCA